GCGCGCCCTGCTTCGCGACCGCCCCCTCCGGGACGGGAACTAACGAGTCCGCCTCTGGGCATCGCCTGACCCGACCGCGTTCCTGGCCTAATCCTCCTGCCTCAGCATCCGGGAGCTGCCTCTCCCGAGGGCCGGTGCAAAACCATGTGCACGTCGTCGGAGCCAAAGGGGACGGGGGTGCAGGGACCTACAATCTTGGGATTCGCCCTGCTTCGCGACCGCCCCCTCCGGGACGGGAACTAACGAGTCCGCCTCTGGGCATCGCCTGACCCGACCGCGTTCCTGGCCTAATCCTCCTGCCTCAGCATCCGGGAGCTGCCTCTCCCGAGGGCCGGTGCAAAACCATGTGCACGTCGTCGGAGCCAAAGGGGACGGGGGTGCAGGGACCTACAATCTTGGGATTCGGGTGTCCGCACTCACATCCAACATTCTGGAAGGACCTTGGCCCGAGAGTTTGGTTGCTGCTGCCAGTTCCTGTCACCGGGCCTCTCATCCCTGGAGTGACTTGGGTTACAATTGAGATGACTATAAAGGGCAGGCTAGAGTGAGGAGGTTATGGTCACTCTGGTCCGTTAGGGCCTAAGGTGCCTTGTAATGGTGTCTACTTGGAACTTGCAACTTCGGAAGTGGGGAGCTGAAACTATGGCCAGTCCCAGGGTGGCCTCAGGTAGTGGAAAGCATGGGGCCTTGGTTCTAAAGGTGGTGCTCTTGGAGAACGCTAATTTCCACCCACACATCTAACTGCAGCTTCCTCACATCTCTCTCTGAAGCCTGGCCAGAGGGAAGCCTCTGCTGTGACCCACCCTCAGCGGTGGGAGACTGGGAGACCTGGAGACAAACAGCAAAGTCACAGCTTGAGGGGGGGGCTTGTCGTTTCTCACTACTCATTGTGCCCTCAAGTATGGATCTCCACCTTAGAGAATAGTTGCTGTGGAGGCTTTCTTCTTGGAAAAGCTATGCATATACATTGAACTGTGGGAAAAGTGTTCATACAGATGTAACTTCGACCAGTCACACCAGTTTGCCTCTGTCCATGCATAGCAGTAAACTCAGCTGAGTTGGTGTTTCAGGGAAAACTTACAGAGGGCAAGAACAGGGGCACTGCTGCTATGACTCAAGCTGTCTCCTGCCAGACAAGCAGCAAGGGTGAAAATTCCTTAGGGATGATTCCATAACCTATTTCTCATTGGTGAAAGTTACTCTATCCTGAACTAAATAAGTTATATATCACATCATCTTTGTCCAAACAGCAAATGTTCCGATGGTATGGCACCAAATTAAGCAATGCAAGTGGAAAATGCTGCTCTTATGTTCTATGTTTATTAAAAATGTACCAACCAAGAATCTTGGCAACCTACAGCCATTTCCATCTTTTGAATGGCAGCCTGCCAGCCACAAGTGGTCAGAACATTGCCTTTGGATTTAGATCTTGCATCGGTGGCCTAACCTCCAAAGGTCACTCTGCAAAAGGCAGTTCTGACAAAATGTTATTATTGCTTTTTGTTCATATTTGGTTTAATATGGGGGCGAGCTTGAGCTATGGAATCATAGACTAATTCTGGCCACAAAGGAAACTTTGTGAAGTGTGTTACTATATAGAATAAAAGAATTTTAGAGATGGAAGGAATCTTAAGCCAACCAGCTTGTTTTTAGGAAGAGGAATGTGAGGCCCAGAGAGGTTAAGTAACTTGCCTACAGGCACGCAGTTCCTCTGGCAGAGCTAAACCTAAGCCAGGATTTCCAATTCATGGCCCATTACTCCTTCTGCCACACCATGCTACATTCCTGTGATATAACTGGAGTGCATTAAGACAGTAAAATTTTAAGTTGATTCCCTTCTCATTAATCTTGTTCAAAAATTAAGTTTGGTTTTCTGAATAGTGAAAATCATTTGAACTCTTCTTGTGAGGGTTGCTGGGCCCAAAGCCCAATGCTTGGCCCACAGTGCTGGCATCTGGATGCTCCAAAAGTGAGTGAATGAGCCAGAGAATGAGTGCTTTAACCATTCATCAGAAGAATTATGCTAATGTATATAGACTTTGTTTTTCCTCCCTGGTGTTGGGATGGAATCCAGGGCCTTGCTCATGCTAAGATCGTGCTGCACCCCCAACCCCAACTTACTTACCTTCTTTCTTTCTTGGTACCAGGGAATTGAACTCGGGTCCAACTTTCTTCTTAACACCAAGTATATGGACCTCCACTTTCCCTCACAGAACTTTCAGTGTTCCTCAGTATCACAGCCCTCAGTGTACACAGCCAGATCACAAATTGGTCTGTATGTCTGCTATCAGTTCACACTCAGAAAATGAAAAACACCTACAGTGTTGAAGATGGGTTTGCCACAGGAGTCCTGTACTTTGGCTTCAAGGTTTGCCACTAAAACAGACCTGTTGAAGCCCATCCAGGACCCTCAGTGTAGACTGGTCCTCCATGTGTGGGTGCCATGACCTGTGTGGCTGAGGGGTTTACAGTGTAAGAAACGAAGGTGAGAGATTCAGAAAGTCAAAGAATAAGACAAACATGACAGTAAAGTTTACATAGCTGAGGCTAGGTGGAATCCTTTTGTTCTGATGTGACAAAAAAACTTGGCTTGCATCCTTAGCACCTTTATTTATAGTGTAGATAAGGAAACCAAAGGGGATGGATGCCTGATTGGAACAGGGAGAACAGCTAGGGTCTGCAGGAGACAATGCTTGATGTTTCTCTGGCATACAGGTAGGGAGGAAGACAGTCCTCTTGTCAGCCAGGCCTTACTCCACCCTGCCCTCTCATAGCCTGTTCTCCCTCAGCGCCCTGCCTTGTCCGCCGGAGGAGTTGAGTTAGACCTGACCGTAGTGATCTATAAGCAGAGCTCCCGGCATGTGGAAATGAGGAAGACGCGTACACCTAATGCTGCCAGCAGTTGGGAGGCCAGTGCAGAGGAAGGGCCCTTGCAGTCCCCAAGAAAAAGCCTTCCCTCAAGGTCCTTGGGGACTGAGAAAGAAGGAAAGGTAGCTCGGAGTGCACTTTGTACTAGTGTGTAACAGTACTGTATTTTCTTTTGTGAAGTCTGCAGTGTAATTTTTGTTTACCTAAGGGGGAGAAGAGTAATACAGACCTTGACATTCCAATAGGATTGAAGATACTTTATTACTCATTTTTCCAATTTAGCTGCCCATATATAATCTCAGCTCTAAAATACGTTCAGGAGATGTGGAGAAAACTATTTGTCTCTCTGCCATTTGCATTATTCTCCATTCATCATTTATCTCCCTTCCATATTAGGGTTTACTCAGTTAATTTCCTTTCTTCTCCCTTGAGTCTTTTTCTCTCCTTAACTTGACAGTGTTTACACTTGCAGGAGAGTCCCATAGCCAGAGTGGTGTTTGAGTTGCATTAATTGGCAGAGGCTGCATTCTCTAAAATGTGATGAATTATTTCCACAAAATTCAGCCAAGGCTGCTCTTAAAGAATATGGCAGGAGGTCGCCCTTTCTAGATAATGAACCATGGTGCTTTTGAAACTGATTGCAAAGAGGTATCATCCTCTAATTCTAAACTCTTACCTTTTACTTTGTGAAATTCTGCAGGGACCTCGGAAAGAAGAATGAGTGGTTGTTCTTTCCAGCACTGAATTGGCTGACTTGCCCTATTTACTGTAATCAAACTTGAGAACACCAGTTAATTTTCCTGGCCAGGGGACAACTGACCTTGGAGTATTTTCTCAAAGGAGATTTGAAGGAAAGTTAATAAAGAAAAGATTCTTTTCTGACTAATCACAATAGAAAAGACAAATATTACCATGAGGATAGATCCTGAACAAGCTGCCTAAAATTAGCTCTTGCTGCTTAACAACACTTCTTTTGTGGTGTTTATCTCACCTTTCAGGTAAGTTTTGAATTCCAATTATCTTTTCTTTTGAAACCATTGCTAATTGTAGTGACCTGGCCAAATTCTAACTTGAAAATTATCTTCCAGTCTTCATTTAATTAGGTTTAATAACAAAATTCAACCTCCAGTCAGGTCTTACTAAAATGGGAAGAAAGCAGAAATAATTTAAAATAATTTCATTTTGTGTCATTGGTCCTAATACTTACATGTGGCCTCCAGACCAAATGACCTTTAACTCATTTATCCTTCATTCCGCTGAATAATGAAGTAAGATGGTGCTATTATGTTCATTTTATATAGGGGGGTCCTTTAATCAAAGAAGCCAGGGGCTGAATACTAAATCTGGTGGCAAATGAACTGAGTAACAAGTGTAAAGGAGGGCCACTGAGGCCTGGGGATGAAGTGCAGCAACAGAGGGCTTGCCTGGCATATGTGGGCCCTAGTTTTGATTCTCCAGCATACCAACAAAGTCTCACTTCCCACCCCTCTCTGTACAAATGCCTGCCTTTAGTGGAACCTGACATGAGCTCTACACTGGAGGGAAAAAGTCATGCTCCTGAGTCTCCAGAATGTAAGAGATAGATGTGATCAGCTGGCCGTTAATGATCTCTAACTGTCTGAGTACTTACACACATTAATTCAATTAATCCTCAGACTCTTCTGGCATCAGCACCACTGTGCCTTGCTGTGCAGCTCATGAAGGTGAGACAGAATTAAGAGACCTGCCTGAAGCCACACAGCTAGTGGGAGACCACAGAAGCCAGCTCCCCACTCATACTCCCAACATCCACACCAAAATACCTCCTCTAATTAAAAAGAAAAGGGGGAAGGGGATTGCAGATGTAGCTCAGTGGTGGAGCGTTTTTCAGCACGTACAAGGCCCTGGGTTCGATCCCCAGTGAGAGAAAGATACACAATAAGACAGATGGGCACACAGACACAGAGACAGAGACAGACACAGATTCAAGGTCCATTTAGGAAATAGCACCAGCTCTGCTAAAAACAACACTTAACTCCTCACTGTCACAAGAAGCCACAGTAGATAACCTCTCTGAAAAATCATGACATTCCTTTTTCCCAAGCTATAAATAAACCCTTCTTTTGGGCAGACACTTGGTCTCTAGTGCCTCAGCTGTGCCTTGTGTGATATGAGGGCTCAGGAAATTTAACAAAACTCCTAGTTAGAGAACTTCAAATTAATGCTAGGACTTTATTTCTAGTATACTAGTGCTATTGTGAAATTACCAGTGGTGATTCATTCATCACTCCTTTATTTTAAATATCCCAAACATAAAAGAGTAGATTTTTACAGAGCTTATGGGGTAATATTTTTGTTGTTGTTGCTTTTGTTTTTGTTTTTGTTCTGGTACCAGGAATCAAACTTGGGACCTTGCACTTGTGAGGCAGGTAGCGGAACCACTGAGCTAAATCCCTGGCCCAGGGTTAGAGTTTCTTAAAACAACTCAATGAACCCAAAACTCATAAAAGCCCACTAATATTTTTTGTTGAATACAGGATGACACAATCCTGTGTGTGAGTTTGTATGTGTGTTTTCTTGTTTGTACTTTTATTTTGTTTTGTTTACAAAACACCATGTGCACTATATAAATTTGATGAGTTTGGACATACACATACACCTTTGAGCCCATGTACATCTTTAAAGATATTTTGAGAAGTGTCCACATTCACTCTTTAAATATTCTAATTAGTAGTAGAGAGAGAGTGTGTTCCCCAAGTGGTCCTATGTTGTCTTTAGCTTTGGTTGTTTGCAAACATCTTAGTCTAGGATGAGATTTACCAAGATCTTTGGAAAGAACACATCCATTTCTTCATATGTATTCTTGTGAGGATTTAAACACTCATTTAAAGTTTATCACCAGTGCAGATGACTATAATGTTTCAGGAAAAGCCCTGCATAGAATCTTACTGTCCCATTCAGGATATCTTGTCTAACTTAAGCATTTCATACCTGTCAAGCATCTCTTAAGGAATCTTTATTTAAATAGTTCATGTTTTGTGTGTTTTTTGTAATGCAGCCTCCCCTGAGCACCTCACTGTACTTGATTTTACTCAGTGTCTTTTGCTCAAAAACAGTGTTTACCTCCTAAAGTTCAAAGTCTGGTCTTTTCCTTCTTGTTTTTCACTTTATTTTCTCTCCTACTACTAATGAGATGGTAATTCTTGATTCACTTTATTTGTGTTATTTATATCTTTAGGTCTCTGTTTAATATAAAGTCTGACTTGACATTCTTTTCCTACTACATGATGCCCAAATTAAGTTAAGAAGCAATTCCAGAGAAAGCTGGCCTGTGATCCTTCATGTTCTTCTGGTATCCTGAGCTCTAGAGAGCCTGTTTTATTTGCAAGCTGAGCTCATAGTTTGTCAAGGGTAACCCAATTGTCCCTTCCAGAGCAACTGTGGTCCAAGACCAGATGTGGAGACGGAGTAGGGAGAAAAGATGACAGAGGACAGTGTGGCCATTGTAAATGCGTGAAAGTAATTGACAGGGCAATTTGATTTCTAGATCAAGGCCTAGTCATTTAGCACCAACCAAGGAATACAAGGCAGTTGGCCATTTCCAAAAGATAGGACTACCCTAACAAGATAGCCACTGAGAACAGTAAGAGTCCAGGTGCTAAGTCTAACCTAACTACTCCCACCATCTAGGAAAAGGAGCTTTTCTGTATTGCCTTTCTATCAGGCAAGGCCCTTTTGTTAGGATTCTGGTTGCAAGTGACAGAAACCCAGTTCAAAGTAGCTTGGGGCTAGTGTGTATATGTTTCAAATATGTTCTCCAGAGCCAGGGCCTAAAGCCACATAGTCACCTCCATCTCTTAGCTCTGCTTTACTTTATTTGTGTTTTCGTCTAGTCCCCTCTTCTGTGCCTATCCCTGAGCCACCTTCTACTACCTCTGTGAAGGCAGAGCTGGGCATACCATCCAACCAATGAGCAGTCTCATTGCCCCAGCCTGATTTGTAGGGCCATCCTGGACCACGACTGAGGCCAGGTTGAAGAGGCTATTGAATTGGCCAGGACCACATCATGGACTCCTGGGGGCACTATGCTGCCACCAAGTCGAATGACTCACAGAGCCTCTAACTAAGGAGGGTGGGTTCAACTAAACAACCAAAATCCAAGTGAGGTAAGAGTGGGGAAGGGAATGGTATCAGTTCACAAAGAGCAAAGCAGAAAGCAGTGTTTCCAAGCCCCCAAATGAAGCCCCAGGCACAGTGATGCAGACACTGCAGAGATGAGCTCAAGTAGCAGCTGCTGTCCTCCACAGGGCAAGGTCCAGGGCAGTGTAGGCCTCTGCCCTCCAGTCGTGGGTGTCCCCTTTCTCCTATCTGCCTTCCCTCCCATTGATGCAAGTCTTACAACAGCAGTCACAATAACAGCCCTTGTTTAGCTTCTCTGAGCTTGGCCTGTGGCTTGCTCTGGCCAGTGGCACAATAGCAGATATGACCCTCATGAGGACTGTGATGGGCTGTGCCTGGAGCCTACCCTTTCCTGATGCTCTTTGGAACCCTGAGATGGTCCCCAGAAGAAGTAGGCTGGATAGTAAGGGCTGCGAGATGTGTAGGCAGATAGAGCCTGCAGGCTGCCTCTGAGAATAGAGCCACCAGCCTGCCAACCCCCAGGCTAAGAGGCCTCTAGGCCTCCTGAGCCCAGGTGAGCTGACCTGGACCAAGAGGAAAGCCCAATAAACCCTCAGAGTCATGAGCAATGATGGTTATTATTTTGTCTTTTGGTTTTTGTTTTCTTGTTGGGCCTTGTGTATGTTAATCATTCCTTCTAACCCATGGCATCATTTTGAAGACACTAAAGTTAGGAGGTAGTTGGTTATACAGCCAAAGTTAACTGATGCACCAATGCTGTTCTCCAAGAACTTCCTGTAAGTCTTTGAGTTGCTACTGCACAGTAGGGAGAATTTGGGATTGAAGCTCTTCTTCCAGTTAAAAAATGTATACTTTGGCCCAGGACCTCACATTAAGGATGCCCTGGAGACTTCTCAGAGTCTGTGAGCTTTGATGTGCTCTAGCCTGGATTGACTGATACACTTTGAAGCTCTTCTTACAAAAGGAGATGGAAAATTCAAGATGGAGGACAAACAAAGATAAAAAGCCAGGTTACCAGAAGATAAGATAGGAATTATTGAAACTATGAGCAAAAGCCATGAGCTGTGTGTTGGTAGTCTAGATTCTTGTTTGTTTCTTCCTTATTTTCCTTTAGTAAATATGTGTTCGGATACTTCAAACTGCTCTCAGATGGGCACATGATATTAAAGCTCAAGTTCAAGTTTCCAGGGAGAATATCACCCCTCTCAATTCTACTGCTGTTGAGTTGATGATAAGGTGAATATCCCTAACCATACTCGTAAGTTCTTTGGCAATGAACACTTAGGAACCAGCTCCAACTCAGCTACACTTGGCAAAGTTCTCAGCAGAGATCTCTGTGTCCTGGAGGGAGCAGACATGAGTAGGGATGAGATGCATGCTTCTTTCCAATTGGAGAAAGACACTAAGGTCATCCTGCAGAGGTGTTCATTCGAAATGGTCTGGTCCTCAGACAATGAAATAGGGAAGCAAGCAGATATTCCTGGAGGGTTCAGAGCAGGCTTTAGGCTTTGGCCTCCACACTCACCAAGCAACAGTCTAGTGTAGTAACTGCAAGGAAGCTGGATTGTATGCAATCCAGGAATCTGCTTTAGGGTACTGAGAGCTCCAGACATGGGGACCCAGTGGAAGCAGACATGTAGGTCAGGAAGAAGGAAGTCAGGCTATTGGAAGAGAGAAAGAGCTTCCATTTCTCCATTAGGAGGGCCCCGACCACTCTGCCCTTTGGGAAGTGTTGGTTGTATTGTGACTTGGCCAGAGACCTATATGAATAACTCATTTGAAAAAAGAAAAAAAAAAAGCTTGGGTGGACAAGTCACCCTGAATCTAGAGTATTATTTTTCATGTGGTGAGACCTCAGGAAGTGGGGGCAGCATCTCCTGCATAGGGGCTCTCCTTTCTTCTGTTTTGTTTTGCTTTGA